TTAAGCAAGATTTCATTAAAGTCTAGCAAGATGATGGTCATTGTGAGTGAGGGTGCTACAAGTAAATAGGAAGCACTATTTGTGTTTGTGTTTCATAATATTTGTCTCAACATAAGGCAAGCGTAATGGTACTCCCCAAATTTTCTACCACTCAGATTTCCATTAGAGAGGGAGAAATGTTCTACTGCTTCCCACTTCCTTTCTGAGGACCAGAAAGATGGAGGAAAGCAGAACTTTGGTATATGTTAATTTGTAGGCATTGACATAAATTCAAAAACAACTAGGCTGGTTTTTACAACAAGCAAGACTAAGTTAAAATGGGGTTCAATAGTTCTGTGTTTTAGTACATTGTAAGAATCCAGTTAAACAGCTTGTGTGATCTATAAACAAACTATAAATATGATTTATTTGAACATCTGAATATCCAAGTGTTTTGCAGGAAGGTAAGAGAGAGAGGGAGACACACTCTCCCTTACACACACACACACACACACACACCCAGTGAGAGAAACCCAAAGCAATCCATTGAAAGCAGATTGTTGGATGGGTGCAAGAGTTAAAGGAGTGGGGTGAGAAATGAATTGAAATATCCTAGAAAAGACCATGACTAACTAGAAATCTAAAAGGGAGCAACCACATTGCCCCTAGCTACCTCAGAAATGAGGGACATTTTAAAGCCAAGTTAATGCTGGGTACACTCCAAAACCAATTTTAACTTTTTAATTTCCTTAAAATAACTACTCTTCTACGAAGCAGTGTTAAGTGTGATGTACCCAGTCCAGAGACAGTATGCCTCTGAGTGCTAGGTGCTGGAGACAAGCAACAGGGGAGATCTGTTGTCTTGGGGTCATGCTTGAAAATTTTCCAAGGACATTGGGCTGGCAAATTGTCCCAAATGGGCCCCCAAGAACAATCCCATAAGACTTTCCTATGTGAGCTGCAGATTTAGACACATCTGGATGTCCAAAGAACTGGTGGAAAATAGAAATGAATGGAGATCAATGTCAGCTTTCTTGGATTGCTTTTTATTGCTTGACAGTCTACAGCCAGTAAAGCTGATCTCTTCCTGAGTGGGAAGTGTCACTCTCAGTGTCAATTTCTGATAGCTTCCAACTATGAATTCAGGTGATTCACACAGCTGAAAACCTCTTGGGAACAGATGTCTCTGAAAACCTCAGTCCTACTCCTTTCACACGTATAAAAATCTTTCCCCTCAGTGTTCTGACAATGTTCCGGCCTCCAGCTCTATCGTCTATCACTCCTTAACCGAACCATGGCTTGCAGGCTACTAAATGCTCATAATCTGATTTTTAAAAAATTGATATGCAGTTCCTGCAGCCCCTACAAGTGCAATCACCAAAATCTGGCAGCAGATCACTGAAGAGAGTCACAATTTACTGCTGGATCATAGCCAGAAACAGTACTAAAGTCTGTATATGCTATCAAGCCAGCTTAATAAATCTACAAAATGTTTTAAATCTTTGTACACCTTCCATAAAACACTAAAATTCAAAATGCTGGCTCTGTCCCCACTGCATGATATCATTGCATTACCATATTGCACATTGCAGTTCGCAACCACAAGAAACTAAAAGAAGGAAAGCATGGTCTCCCAGTTGCCAAAACATTGCTGTAAACTCCTGGGTTAAGGTGCTGAACCAGGATCTGTGAAACTCAGGTTGAAATTCTCACTTGAATATCATGCTGTCTGGGGCACTGAAGGCCAGACAGTATCTCTTAGTCCAACCTATGTCTCAAGGTTCTTTTTGTGATGATCACACTGTGCATTGTCTTGACTTCCCAGTGAAAAGTTTTGACATAAATATAATAAATAAGACAGAAATCTTCGATGTAATCCCATAGCATTCATAGTAGGAATACCACATTAGCTCAGTTTTTGTTTTTTTTTAACAAAGGAAGTTTCATAGTTCTTCATGCAGTTAGCTAGCTTATGTATTAACTGTTTTCAAAGCAAATGGTTATCAATTAAAAGAAAAAAACTTGGCTCCATCAACTGCCCTTTTTAAATCCCTAACCTTTTACGGAATCCAGCATCAAGCACTCATTCATTCCTCAGGGTGAGCTTTCTGAGCCAGGAAGGATAGAAACTGCAACTCATAAAACAGAGTAAGTGAAAGCACAACAAATACAATTAAAAATCTGGCTGTGCTCAGAGATGGATTGCATTTACTGTCTCATAAAAAGAGCCTTCATCCTGTCAGGCAAACAAAGGGAAATCAATTTCTTAATTTTTATTGGCAGATTTGGGCCGGGAGCCAAGCTTGCACTTGCTTATCTGAAAGCTGGGGACTGGAGAGGGAGGCACTCAGCCAGTGACTCTTTCATTCTTCCTTCTCAAGACAAAAGGACACTGACCAAATTCAACTTCTGCCAAAAAAGGTTGCTTTTGCGCATTTTCTGATGCAACTTCCTGGGAAAGCCACTC